ACGGAAATCCGAAGCCAAGGGGAAAGACAAGTGGTGAGTTGGTCTTTTATAAAAAGGAACGTGGAATGATTGAGATTCGCTCCGTGTAGAGAATCTATAAAAGACCAAAAAAAAAAAAAAAAAAAGGACGGGCAGGTCCTACAAATCCGTTGAAAAGGACGAACGGGTCATACAAATCTGCTGAATAAGGACGAACGGGTCCTACAAATCCGCTGAAGAAAAAATAAAAAACGGTAGATTCCTAATTGGAAAAGTTTAAATTAAAGGACGTGCGGGTCCTACAAATCCGTTGAAAGAAGACGCGCGGGTCCGGTGTTGTACCGTGGACAAAGGCCTAATTGAGAAAATTCTGCAGAACAAAACACGTGTTAAAAGTGTGATTGTGAAAGTGTGAGAGTGATTGGAATAGAGATATATCACTAGATATATCCTATTCATACCAAAACAGTGGGATTGCAAGTAGTGACCTTATTGTGGAAGCAAAGGCAAGAATTCTCCACTCGTAAGAGTAGAAGCGAGAATTACCACATAAGGAATTTTTATCACTACCCCAATGAAAGAACCCAGCTTAATAGGACACCCTAGGTGTCACCTAAGCTGGACCAAAACACATAAAAATGGGAATGGAAGCCAGTAAGGCTAATTTGGAAGAATTAAGATGTCAAGATTGGAGAATCTTTGAGAAAGAGCCCGAAAATTTACCATTCCTCGAATTATGGGTGACTAAATTTGGATTTGACGGCAGCCTAAGAACAAGCCAATTAAATAAACTACAAGACTCCATAAGCATAAAATCAAAGGGTGATATAAAGAAAGCACAAAAATATGGGAGTCAAATGGTTGATGAATGGAAAAAAAAAGAACCAAAAGCAAGCAGAAGAGGGTTCAGAGGTAGAGGACAGGATAGGCCCAGACCAGGAGGAGCAAATCAAAGAGGGACAGGTTGCTGGGCATGTGGAAAGGAGGGAGAGATAGCCCGCAATTGCAAGAACAAATCAAAGGGAGGAAGGCGTGAGCAGTCAGGACGAGATCAAAAGCTATAAGTAAAGACAACTTTAATAATAATAATTATAAAAATAATACTGATAATAATGCAGAAATGAAAGGTAGAAAAGGCAGTTAAAAAGGCAGAAAGGTTTAATGCAGACTGAAAATTTTTAGCAAGTTAAATTCTCTGTACAGCTCTGTTCTCTGCACAAATGATAAAATGATTCATCACATGCCAGTTACGACCTTGACTCCTCCAGAGACACAGCAGCCAAAGAATCCCTCCCTATGCAGAAGCATGTAGCTATCAAAAGACAAAACTGTGACTAAACTGTTACAGCCTATGAAGTATAAGTTGTACATGAAGACGTGTCACTGGAGATGAAGAGGTTTTCTGACCTCAGCTGGCATCCCTGTTAAACATTTGAACCAACTGATTGACATTATACCTTATTGGAACTTAAAGAAGTAACCATAGTAAAGTGCAGAGAACACCAAAGCTAACTTGGAATTAAAGCCCTCCCTATAATGCTATTTAACGTAAGATTAACTCCAAATGTGACAATGAATTTCATACTATATGAGATAAATAGGACGACTATGGGATAATAAGAGAGATGATAAACCATTTGATGACTATGACAGAGAGAACAAGGAAGAAGCAGGTTAAGAGGCAGGAATTTCAATAGAGAAAACAATAGAGGAAGTAAAAGTTTTGACAAAAGTTTATGAATCACAGGAGCTGAGAGGTGAAGAATAGTACCCTGACCAAGGTCGTGAACCACAACATCAGAGAATTGCAGAGCTTTGGTCACTAGGTGAAGAGCTGTAGAAAAAAGTATCAAGCATGAGTAAAAGAGGGAGAGATAGCAAGTGTTATTTGACAGAAATGAAGAGAAAGTGTGAACAGAGAAGAGACAGAGGAGGAAGAAGTGCTAAACTTGGAGGAAATAAATATATATATTTTTATATATGTTTTTTGATAGATAGATAGATAGATATACTTTATTGATCCCAAACTGGGAAATTCTCTTGTTATAGCAGCAAAAAGAAAATATAAAACTAAATATAAGAGGTACAAAAAATACAAAGTATATATAAGAAATACAGGCTAAATATGTTAAACATCCTAAGAGATAAAAGTGAGATATGAAGAACGTGGGCTATTGAAATGAGTGATAAATATGAAATGAGTAATAAATATGGAATGAGAAATATTACAGATGGGATGATAGATATACAGACAATTTAAGGTGCTCGGTAATATGATGTGATAGGAGCTTAAAAAAAAAAAAAAAGTACTATAAAGCAGACAGGCGTGAGTCCCTGTCTGACATATGTGAGTTATTTAACAGTGCAATAGCTTGTGGCAGGACAGATTTCCTGTATCTGTCCCTTCGACAGCGGAGCTGCAACAGTTTGTTGGAAAAGGAATACATTATGCAGACATAAAACCGCAGATATGGTTAATGATTCATGGTTTACCTGTAACCTTTTTGTGTGACTCCAGTAGGGCTGAAACGATTACTCGAGTAACTCGAGTAACTCGATTAATAAAATTCCTCGAGGCAAATTATATGCCTCGAGGAATCGTTTAAATCCGGAACCATGTGCAGCGCACGGTGTTTGACACGGACGGTTATTTCTGTTGCGCAGAAGCGTGCTCTTTCCGCTCCTTCCGCTGCCGCGCGTTTGGTTCAATCATGGAGGGAAACGAGGACAGACAGAAGCTGTGTCCGAAATGGCATACTGCCTGCTATCTACTTACCTACTCAAGCAGTAGCTACTGCCTACTGACTACTCAAAGATGATTTGAGTATGCCGCGGCTGCCCGAGCGTTTACACACATACATACTAAATACCCCAGAATGCATTTCGTGCCGGCCGGACTTAGCGCCGGGAAAATTTAAATAGTCCTACCACAAGCTACATAGAACGACTGCATACCGGACAAATTATATAAATTCATTCAATAATAATATTTTTTCTAGCGAGAAAGTAAGTGTTTACATCACGATTATGAGCCCAGTTGTTTGAAATAGTGGCTGTTTGTAAATTTGTCTCGGCGTTTTCGGAGACCGAAGCGTCCACTTGGTCGGTGTTTGCGTCTATTTACCGTAAACACCGGGCAGCAGCAGCTCTTCACGTTTCCAAATTATTGCGAAGTGTTTTCATAATCAACATCTACACGACACAAACCGGGCGGCAGTGGATGAAAAAAATCACACAAACATCCGTGTATCCATGGTGATAATGCTATACACCACCTGCTAGGCGTGTGATGAGCAGCAGAGGGCTGCAAAATGACCAACACACAACAACATGTAAATAAAAATGTAACACTTTTATATATTGAATAAATGTACATTTGCTTGTCAAATTATGTTAGTATCCAAGAATTATTTTATTTCAGCCTATTAATTAAACAAGTAAAATTAGATCCAAAGCCTGGAAATAGTTGTGACTGGTTTAGTGAAAACTGCAAAGATCATTACCATAGCAATTAAAAGACCATCTGCAGACCTTGCCTTCAGTAGTTTCATGTGAACTACATGGTAAAATGTAAAACTTTTGGTTCCTGATTTATGCAGTAAAAATATTCATTTGAAAGACCTGGCCTATTTCAGTTTTGTGTGTTACTGATGGTTTTTAATGAGGCAAACGTGATTCAATGCAAAGTATTACAGTGAGAGCAAAACATTTCTTATCCGATTACTCGATTAATCGACAGATTAATCGATAGAGTACTCGATTACTAAAATAATCGATAGCTGCAGCCCTAGACTCCAGTATAAAAAAAAAAAAAAAAAAACAGCTCTTGGACATAAACTGCCACAGATTAGGTTTTCCAAACGAAAGATTTTTGTCTGATCAGCAAACAGAGAGAGCTTTAAAGGCAGTAATAGCGAGTCATGGGCCTTGCCATGTCTCGACAGGAGGGATGTGTGTAGTAGTTAATAAACATTTTACCCCCTATTGATTCATAAATTATAAATAATAATAATAATAATAATTAACTATTTGATTTGTTCAGTTTGTGGTAGACATAATGCTCAAGACAGTATAAAACCAAACAGAGGCAAATTTCCACCAACCAATGCATCATTTGAAGCCATGCACATGGACTTCATAGAATTAAATCAGTGTGAGAGAAAGAAATGGTGTTCAGTGTTAATAGATCCTTTCACTAAATGGATAGAATTATTTCCTGTCACCCACCCAGATGCATTAACAGTAGCAAAAATCCTGTGTAGAGAAATAATTTCTTGATTTGGCATTCCAAAATGAATCTACAGTGACAATGGAACTCATCTTGTAAATGAAATAAATAAATAAATAATAATAACTAGAAAATGCAATTTCTGAAGAAATTGCGAGATGGATTGCTCCAGCTGAAATTGCCATTACTAAGCTGCTATTGTAAATGGTTTAAGTTCAAAAATTATGCGAAAGAGATGAGATTTGAAGATTCAGAAAGGTTTAAATCAGTTTAATTGAGTTGGAATTAGTTTGAAAAAATTGGATACTGAATGAAGAATGAAATTATTTAAAATTAAAATGATCATAATCTGAATGTATAGAGGAGTTGAAGGCTTTTAAAGTTGTGTAAAGAAAATGTGAGAAAAGGGCCAATTTGAAAATTCCATAATGCATTTCTAATAAAAAATTGGTTGGAAAACCTGGAATATCTCAGAAAGTATGAATGTTAGGAAAATTTTGAATATAAGCTGAAATCTCCTGAAGTTTGAATGGTTTTGAATACATTGAAGTAAGTGGAAGGAGTAAAAAAAAAAAAAAAGGGGTACTGCTAATGACACCCACAGCAGTAAAAATAGCACAAAGAAGTAGTTGGATACATCTTTCCCATTGCAAAAAAAAAACCTATATGGGTTTTAATTAGGAAAGTCTGACTTCAAAGGGGGGCGTCCTTATAGTGGGCGTTCGTCTCGATGTCAGTGAAGATTAGATGGTGTTGAATTCCTTAGGCGCTTAGGAAAATGGGGAAGTTAAGTATCTTACTTCTGCTAAACCTGATACTGTTAATTTACCTACTGAAAACATTATTTACAACTTCAGATGAACTTAAGGAAGGAAAGAGAAGTGACAACAACAATAGTCCTCACATCCTGTGCGACAACCAATCAAAAATCACATTCAGCTGTTCTGAAGGCGACCATGTGCAGAGAGGAAACCTAAGCAGGGGTATGAATCACCCAGACGGACACCACAGTTGCTTCATGTGGTGAAGACACTGAGAACTTTACCATAGCTTAACTGCTACTAGGCGTTTGTGTTATTCTGTTTACAATGGGATTTTGTGTATGCTTGTTTTGTCAATAAACACTTATACTTATGTTTATTAAAGGTAGATCACAAAATAAAAAAAATTAATTAAAAAAAATGGTGGAAGAATAATATTAATAAAGATATGAATAAAATATAGTGGGCATGCTTCGCAATCCCACTCAATAAAAAAAAAAAAAAAAACTTATTTAAAGTGAACATGTGGTACAGATATGCAAAAATATCTAGCAAAAATGTAGAATCAGTCTAGCTTCTATGTCTGTACTAGGAATTCCCTAACCATAACAAAAGTGTATGTGTTTTCTGTAGCTGTACCTAAATGACAGCAGACTGATAATAGGGCCTTAGTGACTTTAATCCTAACTGTTGTAACTTTCCAGACCAGTGTGGCAAATTTAACCTCTGCAGTTAGTTTTATTCCTTTGTTGAGCCACTCCAGAGTAAAAGAAACTAGCAAACAGAGTCAGACCCGACTTATATAGATAGTTCCTCGTGAGGTACCAGATGAGTATAAACTAGTAAATCAAGTTGCTGCAGGCTTTGAGTCTCTCGTCTGTCCTTGGTGTACAATGAACAAAAATATAGATCAAATCAGAATCAACTACATCCATTTCAACGTTCAAAAGTAGGGATGCACGATATTTATCGGACCGATAAAATATCGGCCGATATGGGGGGAAATTACGTCATTTTTTATCGGTCCGATAGGTGCATTTTTCCGATAGAAAGATCCGATATATTAATGAAATTACGAGTAACGTTTGCAGGCGGAGTAGCCGCCCGTCCGAGACGCGCTGGTCACGTCGTCTATCAAGCCTTACTCGCAGGTCCCAAGCCTGACCCCGTCACTGTCTGACAGATAATAAAATGTCTTCACCAGCATGGTCGTTTCTCTCAGTGGCAGAAGATGACAACAGCATTGCTATATGCAAAACCTGTTCAGCGAGGATTCCAAGAGGAGGAATGAAGACGTCAAGTTTTAACACAACGAATCTGATAGCTCATCTGAAAAGTCGCCATCGCGGCGGAGCAGTATTAAAGGACTATGAGACAGCCGCCGAAGCTGCTAGCGGTACTAAAGCTAAGACAACAACACTACGGAGGATCGATGTCCCCATTCAGCAGGCGTTTAAGAACTGCAAAAGCTTCTCAAGAGACAGCGAAAAGGCTAAAGCCATTAACGACAAAGTGATGGAGTTCATAGCGGTCGACGACCAGCCTTTTTCCGTCGTTGAGAACCCGGGTTTTCGTAAGTTCATAGCACACTTGGAACCACGTTACACTCTCCCAAGCCGCCGCTTCTTCTCGGATGTGTCTCTTCCTGCACTCTATGATATTGTCGCCACATACATTCACAACCTGATCAACAAGAACGGACTACACGTGAGTTTTACCACAGACATATGGACGTCAGATGTTAGTCCGGTCAGCATGCTAAGCCTAACGTCTCATAATAGCTCCTTTACAGTTTACAGTTCTGTTGAACAGTTCAGGGGATCAAATGAAGTTCTGCTTTTTGCTCTGTTATTGTTATTTATAGCAAATGACCACATTTGAAGAGCCAAAAACTTTTGTTTGTTGTTCTAGATAGGCCAGAGCAACAAAAATATCAGTTTTCAATCGCTGCATCCTGCACAAACTGCAGATTATATGAAGATTATAATAAATGTAAAAATATGAATTTATCGGTTATCGGTATCGGTATCGGCCATGAGAAGAAGAAAATTATCGGTTATCGGTATCGGTTGAAATTTTTCATATCGTGCATCACTATTCAAAAGCTAGGTAATTGGACTGAGGCTGGTATTTAGGACCGGTCACTCGCAGTTATCTGCAACATCCCTGATGGCGTTCCAAAACCGTATAGCCCTTGACATGCTGCTGGCAGAAACAGGAGGTGTATGTGCCATGTTTGGAGAAACGTGTTGCACGTTCATTCCTGATAATACTGCTGCTGATGGCAGCCTCACTCGAGCCATAGAGGGCCTAAAAATGCTTAACAGCAAAATGAAAGACCACTCAGGAATAGATAACTCCTTTTGGGACGATTGGATGAATGTATTTGGAAAATACAAAAATCATGTAGATTCAGTCCTAATCTCTGTTGCTGTTTTTGCAGCTATTCTGACCTTGTGTGGATGTTGTTGTATTTCTGTATTTGTTCTCTTCTTAACCGTCTTATCACCACAGCGTTGTCCCCTGTGGAGCAGCAGATGCAGGAGTTGTACCCGCTGCTCCATCAGCAGGACGAGGAGGAAAGACTTGATGACACTCAATGGCCTGACCTGTGCCCCAATCCGGATGATGAGTATAATTCTGACTAAAGCAACATCTTGTACCTCCGTGTGTAAATTCTTTGTAGTTATAAACATGAACTCGCAGCTGAAAATCGAGAGAAGTGGCTGAACTAGAGGGATTACAATTTGAGCAAAATAATGATAAACAGGAGGGAAATGTTAGAATAATATGCATAAATGTATATAGAAGTTATCATTATTCCTCATATTCTTATGTAAGAGTTTATACTACAAGTATAAACTGCTTTGACCTCTTTTTATACATTATATAAGAGTATTTTTATCATATAAGAGTGTTTTCTAACTTCTCTCTCCAATAGCTTAATTACACAGCACATGAATGTTTCTTAACTTCTCTGTGAACTCGTTTCTCCTATCAGCAGGTGTGTGTGATGTATCCTCCACTATGAATCGTGGGAAGGAAATAAGGGGAGGACACGCATATCAGAAGGAGCTCGTTAGATGCCGCCTTGACCTTCAGCTATTCACAAATTGTTCATTATTATGTTCTATGAAATGCTTACTTTGCAGCACATTTACCCCCACCCTTTTAGAAACATTGTGTGACCAGGGACAACCCTAAATAAAAGAGACTGGGCGGAAATACCTTTCAGAGTGGTTTCGAGATGGTACCTGAAGCTATCTCGGTCCATTCTCCTCGAGTATATACCATTGTCTTTCTCTTCTTTATATGTTATCAGGTAAAGGTAAAGGTTTTAGACCTAACAGAGTGCCAGAATTCTTACGATGGTCTTATTTTCATGATACCACTTTGAAAAACTGCGCCAGGTAAAGAAGTTCAGACGGTATCCACTTCACCCATGGTGGAGCACTTCTCATGTGTTGTGTGCTTGTCGATTTCCTACACACTCTGTCCGCACGCACTACTCCATCTTGCGGTGTGCTTCAGCTTGGTAAGTTAGTAACTGAAGCACACTATAGGGTAGTGTTGTGCCGCTACCAGTGACTATGGTTACATGCTGCTGACTGCAAACCTCTTTTGAATATTTCAACATTTCATGGGGAGTTTGTAATATATAAATCTCTAGGCACTTGTCTTTCCAAAGCACCTAGACTGATCTTTATTTATTTTTATTCACAAAAGTCTAACAACTTTTTCGTTACTTTAGCATTTTTTACATTCATAAAAGTATTTAAAATTCTGCTCTCTTTACTTTTAAGATTAATACCACTTCTTCATACTTTCATAATTTTACATTCATATGCCTTTTTTATACCACAGCTCTGTAACAATTCTATATTGACAAATATTGACAGGTCTTACAACCTCGTCTTCACGTGAGCATTTTTTACATTCATACAAGTTTTTAAACTTCTGCTCTTAATACTTTTGAGATCAATACCACCTATTTAGCACTTTAATAATTTTGCATTTATACAGCTTTTAGCTACAGCTCTGTAACACTCTTTATATTTATATGTAGGACAGAAACTGAAGCTCACCACTAGATGCGGCTGTCATACCATAATCAAATATTTCTATGGTGATGTGCCGACTGCAAACATCTTTTTTATGTAGGGCAGTGACAGAAGCACACCACCAGATGGTGCTGTTTTTCCATTATTACAAATCACTACGGTTACATGCTGCTGACTGCAAACATCTTTTCAGTATTCACACATGGAGCGGGGCCATTGTTTTGTTTAGGCATTAGGCGTTATGTTTTGAATGGACTCTCAAAGGCTTAAAAAATTGTTTTTTGGATAAAAAAATGTACTATTTTTGATCAGGGCAGAAGTGAATTGAGAGATGTGTGAAAAAAAATCTGGAAAAAATATGAATCCAATATGCTTTTACAGCAGTCGATGTCAGTGGCTTTTTTTAGACACTGAGCGTTAACAAAGGATGTTTTTTGTTAATCTAATCCTACAAAAAAAACTTAAAAGGTTTCAAAGTCAATGATATTACTAATCCTTTACATATTCAAGACTATAAAACCCTGCAAGAGATATCCAGTTTCAGGTTATGTTTTCAAATAAAAATCAGTCTCTCTTCTGAAGATGGTCTTATTTTCATGATACCACTTATAACAATAGGTCAATGAACTGACAGGTCATCATAACAACAGGTCACCATAACATTCAACACCATCCAACCGATCATACTCAAAGACAAGCCCACAGAGATGGGTGTGGATCCTACCTGTGTTTCCTGGATCACAAATTGCCTGACAGGAATCACACAGTTCTTCACGCTGGGGAACTGTGTTTCTGGGCCTTATTGAGAAGTACAGGGGTTCCACAACGGACGGTCCTGACTCCATTCCTATTGACAGGGTATACACCAGACTTCAAATACAGCACTGAGTCCTGAAATTTTTGTAGAGGGCGCTATGACCACATTTTTGTTGGAAATCCATTTTGACAGTGGAAAACTTTTTGTTTAATTTTGAGTCCAACGTAGGTGTCATTGAATCCCTCGGTTTAGGTCAAACACAGGAGCTGAACTTACACTTTGAAATTTTGTAGAGGGAGAAATGAAGGAATTTTTTGATGGGTCCCCAATTTTTACATTGGAACCCATTTCTTTTCCTCTTGGGGTTCAAGATAAGTGTCATTGAATCCACTTGTCTGGACCACAGGAGCGGGTTTACGTTTTGAAATTTTGAAGGGGGCGCTATGGGGCCTTTTTATGATGGATATCCATTATGACAGTTAAACCCTTTTTGTTCGTCTTGAGGTCAAAAATAAGTGTCATCATTTTCATAGGTTTAGGTCAAACACAGGAGCGTGGTTCACACTGAAGAAATTTGAAGGTGGCGCCATAGAGCCATGTTTTGATGGATCTCCATTTTGATATTCAAACTGTTTTTGTTCGTGTTAAGGTTCAACTTCAGTGTCACTAATTCCACAGGTTTTGGAAGCACACCACAGCAGGGCTTTCATTTAGAAATGTTGTAGAGAACGCAGTCGTGCCATTTTCAGTTGGATCCAAGATAAGTGTCTGTTAGTCCATTGGTCTGAGTCACTCAAAGAAGCAGGCGTTTCATTTTGAAATTATGAAGGGGGTTTCTTGAAGGACCTCAATTTTGACATTGAACCCATTTTTGTTTGTCTTGAGGTCAAACATAAGTGACATCAATTCTAAAGGTTTTGGTCAAACACAGGAGCGGGGCTTACTTTTTTTTTTAAATTTGAAGCTGGCACTCTGGAGCTATTTGAAGTTGATTCTCCATTTTGATGCTGGAGCCCTTTATGTTCAACTTTCGGTTTGTCATAATCGTACTTTATTTCAAAAGTTTGGTTCGTACACAGAAAAAGGGCTTTTATTTTTCAATTGGGTAGGGGGCAATATGTGACCATTGATGGTTGGTTCTCCATTTTGACATTTCCTCATCACAGGGTGATGAGACTCATTTGTAATAATGGAAAAACAGCACCATCTAGTGGTGTGCTTCAGTGACTTCCCCACATAAAAATGTAGAAAATATTACAGAGCTGAAGCTAAAATACTTGGATGAAGGTAAAAATAAAAAAAATTGCTAAAATTGTATGTCTTCTGTGAATTACAAGGAAAAATGATCAGTCGAGGTGCTTCGGATAGACAAATGCCTAAAAATGTATATATTACAACCTCGCCGTAAAATGTGGAAGTACTCAAAAGAAGTTTGCAGTCAGAATGTAACCATAGTAATTTTTGATTATGGTATGACAGCACCATCTAGTGGGGTGTACTTTTCACCTTTCTACCATTTATACTTTTTGCAATATTTCACTTTTTCTGTACAATTAGAAGTGATCATGAGAGTGCCAGAATTCCTAAGATGGTCTTATTTTCATAATACTACTTAAAAAAACTGCGCCAGGTAAAGAGGTTCAGACGGTATCCACTTCACCCATGGTGGAGCACTTCTCATGTGTTGTGTGCTTGTCGATTTCCTACACACCCTGTCTGCACGCACTACTCCATCTTGCGGTGTGCTTCAGCTTGGTAAGTTAGTAACTGAAGCACACTATAGGGTAGTGTTGTGCCGCTACCAGTGACTATGGTTACATGCTGCTGACTGCAAACCTCTTTTGAATATTTCAACATTTCATGGGGAGTTTGTAATAAATAAATCTCTAGGCACTTGTCTTTCCAAAGCACCTAGACTGATCTTTATTTATTTTTATTCACAAAAGTCTTACAATTTTTTCTTCACTTGAGCATTTTTTACATTCATAAAAGTATTAAAATTTGTACCCTTTATACTTTTGAGATTAATACCACTTCTTCATACTTTCATAATTTTACATTCAAATGCCTTTTTTTTGCTTCAGCTCTGTAACAATTTCTATATCTATATGTAGGGCAGTCATCGAAGCACACCACTAGATGGTGCTGTCATACTATAATCAAAAATTACTATGGTTACACACTGACTGCAAACATTTTTTGAGTACTTCCATTTTTCACGGGGAGTTTGTCATACATCAATTTCTAGGCACTTGTCTTTTTAAAGCACCTAGACTGATTTTTTTCCTTTTTTTTACATAAGTCATACAACTTTTTCTTCACTTGAGCATATTTTACATTCATACAAGTATTAACAACTAACAGCTCTTAATACTTTTGACACTTATTTTGCACTTTCATGATTTTATATGAATACACCTTTTTTTGCTACAGCTCTGTAACACTTTCCTAATGTAAATGTAGGGCAGTCACTGAAACACATGTTTAGCACTTTTCATTATTTTCTTTCACATGCCTTTCTCAGCTGCAGCTCTCTCACACTTTGTATATTTATATGTAGGGCAGTCACTGAAGCACACCACTAGATGGTGCTGTCATACCATAATCAAAAATTACTTTGGTTACATGCTGACTGCAAATATCTTTTGAGTACTTCCACATTTGATAGGGAGTTTGTATTACACAAATTTTTAGGCACTTGTCTTTCCAAAGCACCTACACTGATCATTATTTCTGTTTATTCACATAAGTCATACAACTTTTTCTTCACTTGAGCATTTTTAACATTCATACAAGTAGTTAACTTTGAGCTTTTAATACTTTGACATTAATACCACTT